CTCTGTTAGCATATGCCATTAGCAATTTGCAGTTAGTGTTGGAGAAAAAACATTGTCCACTGACAGGTTTATCCAGGACTGAAAGAGGGATTTCTCCCCACCCGAACCCACCCCACCCTGGCAAAGGCTACCAATTTTTTTTTCTTATACAACATATACAACATGTTGGTGCTTTTCGTCTTCCAGTGATGAGTTGAACCTCAGATATGCCAAGTGTGCAAATATCTGACCAGGAAGTACATGCGTGTGAAAGCATTTTGCAGGATTCATATTCAGTTATTTGAAGTATCTACAGCAAACTGAATTGAATAGTTGTGGGAGCAGATGAGAGGAATGGCCTGAAGGGAATTTTTTTAAAACAAAAACTGTAAAGGAAGTTTCTTTAGAGAGGATGCGGTTGAAGAATGGCAAAATGGAGTCTGTGTTCTGACAAACAAGTACTGGCTTAGAATGGCTGCATATGCATGAGTTTTGAGCATAGCCTCTCAGCTTTTGCTTTGCTTCTCTTTTAGCACATTTGTGTGAACTAAGCCAGGAAGCCACATTGAAAGCCTTAATTTCCTGTTATATTCAGACACGGAACTGTGGTGAATGTGTTCCAAACAAGCTAGAATTCATAGGAAAGCATGGCATCATATCCTGCTTGTTTGGAAGCCATTAACCATAGTTTTCTTCTTTAGATGCAACTGGAAGCTATGGTTAACTGTAGCCTTCTAGCTTGTTAATTCATTGCATGAAGATAGAAGAAAGAGGATGTGTAGTTAGGGCCTTTTGTTTGCTTTCCTGTTTGAAAGCAAAGTCAGTCAGCTTTGGTCAGTTATGGTAAAAATCATGTGCATCACTGTATGTATGAATTTTGATTGAAAAAAATTTAATGGCATTTCATAGATTAAGGATCTCAATAGTACTTAAATGGATTAACTGTGAAATAACAGCTACGGACAGATCTATGTATGTGATCTGTTTGTCTGTTTTGCAAGGGCTAAAAGTCCTAGCTGTGTGTAATCCGACACGAGGATAGGAGAGGCAAACTCATGAAAGCAGCTAGACTGTAATGTGTAAAAACTGGAATTTCTGGTTGAGCTGAATCATAGCAGCTGCCCTCCTAGGGATGTGACAGTTCATGTCGGTCACAGTTGATAGCCAGTGGGAGGGAGGGAGTCTGTATTAGTATGTTAACATTTTATGATAAGACTGTTCTTAACTATAAAAGACCAACAGCATCTGTCACATGTCACCTTCAGGCACTTCTCCAGTTGAATGAATATGCCATAGGCCTTCATGTGCCACAATCTAAGGCTGTGGCTGTGTTTTAGAGGCCCTTTATGTATTTCAGAGGCCCTTTATGTATTTGTTTTTAATTTTGTTCTTCCCTTTCACTGCAACTTTTCTAAGGACTGTAAAATGGCATGTTGACAGCAAACCTTTAAAATGTAACACTGAAAATATCCTAATCCTTACATGAAGTTCTTAAAATGTGGTGGCATCAACATACTCTCTGATTTTCAGCCCCATTGGGTGGGGCTGTGCCTCTCGTGACTTTTCCCCTGCATGTCCATACAACTCTGCGCCCGCACACATGGAGGTTTCCGTCATGACCAGAACCTAATGTGATCGCTGTGTGGAGGAGGAATAGAACGCTGCATGCCGAGAGACGGAGATGCCTGTGTGCCCAGCTTAGAGGCAACCATGGAAGGCATAACTGCCCTGCTGCCGTTTGGTTTTATCTATTGTTTTGGAGTATGGCCAAGCCCCCCCCCCCCAATCTTCTGTAATTCTAGAGAAAGCAGGGGCCAAGGAACTTGATGAAGGTAGCATTGTTAGGATTGTCACTATAGCTTCCTAAAAAGTATTAATGCAGAGGTAGAGAAGGGCTAATGCAAAAACAGAATATCCAAGCGTGTAAAGTAAAGGCCTGCAGAAGGACAAACAGACTTAGTGGTAACACCACAGTGCACTTGTGAACCTTCTAGGAAGAAGGGAAGACCTGGTGACTATATGAGCCTAAGCCTAAAAGTTAGTAGAACATATAGGGCGGGGGTGTGGGAGAGGAGTTTTCTCCCATGATTGTATTTTGAATACATAGTGGAACTTGCCCACTGATGTATTGAAGCCCAGGTTAAAGATTAAAGGATTAAAAAAAAGATGAACTTTCTAGCCCAAAGTCAGTGCAGCTGTGGAGAACAAAAAGAGATTTCTCCTTCCACCTGCCCACACTATAGCCAGCTCTCATGTTTATGGTATAATTCAGAGTTTAAACCTTTTTCGTGCCTATTTTAGACACTCCAGACTTAAATGAAGCTTACAGGGTAGTACAGACAACAATGCTTCACAGCAGTGAAAGTAGTGCCCAACATACATGCAACTGTAGGAGTAGGCTTACTCCCACTATTCCTGGAGTACAAAATTTAATTACCTTGTCTAGGTTATTAAAGATACCTCTCTACCATGATGAACTTAATCCTTATAATCCTCTGCATATCTCAATTGGATGGCTACTCATTTAAAGTGTGGTCTCTTTTATCTGCAAGAGCCAACAGCTAAACGTGAGGGAGCCTGTCTCACCTTTTCAATGGTCATATTTTAAGAGACATATAGTTCCAGGGTTATACAAATATAAAATATTTGAATTTAAATATTATTAATGTGTCAATTATTTATGGTTAGTTTGTGTTAAAAAATTTTAGATTCGTGTTTTCTTTTATGATAATACATTATATAATCCATTCAACTTAATCTTATATGTGATCATCACACTTACAAATCTAAAATGGAGGGTTAAAGTGTTGTTTTTATTTAGTTCTTGCTGAACTGATAATTTAGCACTGAACTATAACTATTTGCTCAGATAAGAGGAACATAGCAGCCTTCAGTTCATTTAAATGCTTTTATTTTTTGTAGATTGATTGTTTCAATATGTGACTGCTGTTTTGTATGGAAGAGTTATAGCCACACAACCTTTCCTTAACCTTTTATTTTTAAAATCCAGTGGCCAGAATTCAACTGAATTTGCTGATTGAATTTCTAGTTAAATAACTAGTAATTCATTTGAGAATTACTTAATTTGTGACTGTTTGCAACGATGAGCCATTTGCACTTAGACTGGAGTACAGTGGGGTCTCTACTTAAGAACGTCTCTACTTAAGAACAATCCAACTTAAGAACAGCTCCATTTGCTAAATTTTGCTTCTACTTGAGAACAGAAATCCAAGATAAGAACAGGAAAAAAAACCTTTCCTGCTCTTTTTTTAAGGTCATCTTAGGTTAAAAAAAAAATCTCCCCCTAGTGGTAGAGTACGTATTAACCAGCTTTGCATTAGTTCCTATGGGAACTAATGCTTCAATGTACGAACGCACCTCTACATAACAAAAAAAAACAGCCAGAACTGGTTTTCAGTCCATTCCTATGGGAAATTTTGCTTCAACTTAAGAACGTTTCAACTGAAGAACACCATTCCAAAACGGATTAAGTTCTTAAGTAGAGGTTCCACTGGAGTTTCTATGGACGGAAAAGAGCAGATACGGATTAAATGGTTTTCAATGCATTCCTACGGGAAATGCAGATTCAACATAAGAACTTTTCAACTTGAGAACCACCTTCCAATACGGATTAAGTTCTTAAGTAGAGACCCCACTGTAAATGTTTAATTAGATTGTTTTTCTGCCAGTGTATCAACTAATACATAAGCTAAAATATGGAAGTGAAACTATTATAGAATCTTGTCCTAAAACAATCTGATTTTGAAAACTAAGTTATATCTGGCTACAGATTTCTGATATTCGTCTACAGATAAAATGTCTAAAATGAAACCTCTCCCATTTTCAACAGACTTTCTGCTCACATAACCGTATTAAACTGTAAAGTGGGAGAAAATATTGAATATGATTAAAATATGTAGCTTCTGATGAAATACAATATCATTGCACAATTGTATTGCCAAGGTTACAAATGCGAATCTCTCAGAATTGGGAAATAGTAATGTGCCAACGTCTGAGAACTGATAAAAGAAATGCAGCTGTGACTACAGACTGATTAAGAGAGTTTATTGGAAAGTGGGACAAAGAAGCAGTAGTTATTAGGGATTTCTGACTTAAAAGCAGAGTTCAGTAGCTGTTATATTTATGAGAAGTAAAGTATGGTAAAATCTGATTGACTAAATCTGACCTTTTAAAACTTTCACCCTGTAGCTTTATTACAAAAATATATAAAATCAAGAAAATTACTAAAATGAATGCAGAGAAGAAGAATTTTAACTTAATCACATTATGTTTCTAATTATGCCTGTTTGACTCTATGAATCCTTAGTTTACGATTGCAGATCATTACTCTGTGCTCTACTTCTTTAGCTTAACATTGTGGCTTATACTAAGTATTTAAATATGTCCCCCAACTTACTGTCATATTCCTAGTGCATTTCTGTTTATCACATTTTATAGCATACAGTTCTTTGCATGTCTCATTTGCCATGACGTGGTCAGTGTTTCCTTCCTGCTGCTTTCAAGCCGGTGCTAGAGATAAGAATATACGCACACTGCATGTACAGAGTACAGTACTGCAAAAACGCCCAACTATCTGCTTGGTTAACAAGTGGCAAAGAGCTTTTCTGCATCTTTCAAATATTGTTTGTCTGTAGTATACTCTAGGAGTGTCAAATTGAGACATTTTGTAAAACAGGTGATCCAGAAATGTTACAGGTTCCTCCTCCATGTCAGGAAGAAACCTCACTACATAAACTGGCAGTATTTGGTGTGTACAACTATTTTGGATTGCAATCTTTTAATTTTCTCTTTTGATGTTCTGTTTGCTCACTGCTTGACAGAAAGAGCTAACAAAATAAATACTTTTTGAGAATTTTTCATAATTAGTCATTTATAGTAGTCTGTTTTAAGTAATGTTGGCAAAAGCTTAAAATATGAAGAGATGGTGTATTTATATATCACTTATATTTGTTTTATTTTACATTTTAATTTGCTTATTTAATTTCACTTTTGTTTTCCAGTGATTTCTGGATGAGAAAAGTATTTGAGAAGGGATTTCATAATTTACCTGTCTTGGCAAAGAAGAGACTCTTGGAAGAGCGACTGTACAAAATAACCTGCTTGGGCCCCTGGCGGACTTCAAAGTCTGCTTCATCACACAAGTCATTCTTGGTGATAAACACTGCTTCTGTACACTGAAGGAGTATTTTTATTACATGCGGAACTGAGACCTTGGAATGCTCTATTATGGCAGCAGCGGTGCAGCAGAATGACCTGATGTTTGAATTTGCCAGTAATGTCATGGAGGATGAGCAACAGGTAAGGGAGAAATAAAAGAAACCATTTTAGAAAATTGCTAGGTAATTCTAACAGAAGTTTAAAGCTCACTATTCTTTCTTTTGAAAAATTTGATATACACTTTAAATGATTTTTCTTATGGCTGTACATTTATGATCCTAGAAGAATGTGTTTTTTTCTTCCTCAGGAATGGTAATATCACTTAATTTTAGAGAAAAGAGAACTGTAAGCTAGTGAAACCACTAACTGGTTTTCTTTATCTACATTTGAATTGTACAGATGCATATTTAGTACAGTCTGTTCTTGTTCCAGAGTAACAGAAATTCAGCATTCCAAAATCAAAATTGGCACTAACTCATTCTGAAATTTCACCTTTTCTATATTTGTAGTTCATATTTTCTGATCAGGCAAAAGTAGTTTCAGCCTGATCCTGAAGATGAGTTGAGACTAGGAAATTATTCTATATGATATAGAAACAAGATTACTCTAAAAGAGAAAAATTATCCTCAAATGATGTTTGTGGTGTTTGTCTGTGTGTATGTGTGCATGTGTTTCAGATTATCAGTTTGTGTTGCATGTTGCAACAAATACATTTTTTGTTTGTCATGTTTTCTGGTTCCTAAATTGTCATTGTGGACAATATTCCCAATACTTAAAACAGATATGTATTGCTTTTGGGAAAATATTATTTCTTTCTTTGGTAACATGAAGCACTGCAAATTGCAGTGCTGCTCTGTGAGTTGCTTTAGCAGCTGCTGAGTAGCATTATGACTGTCAAGAAATATAGCAAAAGCTTAAGGAATAGGAAGAACGAGGTGTGAGGAAATAACTATAAATAATATTTAATAGAACTGTTCTAGATAAATGTGTAACACTCGTGTATGCATTGTTGTGTCGTAGATGTAACTTGCAAAAGAGGACATATGGTAGGAGTTGATTTCTGATAATAACAAAGCAAAGTGATGAATCCATGAACTGTTTTGTGTTGTTTTTAATTTGTTTGCTACTCTGGAATACCCAGTGTGGTGCAGTAGATAGAGTAACAAACTAGAACTCAGGAGCCCTGGATTGGTATCCCCACTCAGGCATGGAAACTCACAGGGGGAGTGAAACTAGTAAAAGCACTCCTTAAATATCTCACTTACCTTGAAAGCCCTGTTGGGGATTCAGTAAGTTGGTTCTGACTTGAAGGCATATAACAATAAGAACTTTGGAAACTTTAATTGAAAAACCGCCTTTTTGTTAATTTATCTATGTTGGGTCTACTCTTAGGACTAGGAGTTAGATTTAAGCATAGATCATGATTTGGATATACTAAAGCAGGGGTTTCAAACTCAATTTACCTGGGGGCCGCTGGAGGCAGAGTCTGGGTGAAGCTGGCCCGCATCAGATTTTCCACCAGAAAAGCTTTGTTAAAAAAATTTCAATCTTCTCAAATCTCTTTATTTTTAACACAAAATAAGATGAAAAAATAAACAAATTAATAATTAATAAGAAAATAAACAAAAATCAGTAGATGATGATGATGATGATGATGATGATGATTCTCAAGTAAGCAACTATATGTTTCTTCAGTGTTCTATATCTGCTGTATTCAGATTCAAATGTCTGCATTAGCAGTTCTTTAACCTTTAATCTTCTAAACTTGAATCGTATAGAACATGAACATGAATGGAACATTGAAGAACATGAACTGTTCTTCTGAACATGGCTTCTCTTGCCTACTCCTTGCTGCTAGAGACCTGGCAGCGCTTCCTCTTGCATAGCTGAGCCACATTTGGCTTGAGGGAGGAAGCAGTTGAGACCCTCAGTATGGCTTGAAGATGATCATCAGTCAGTCTGGACCTGTACTTGGACTTATTGAAGTTCAAGGTGGAGAAGAGCTTTTCGCACAAGTATGTGCTCCCAAAAAGGCACATGGTCCACTTGAACGTTCGGGAAAGCTCAGGGAAGCTGGGGGTCAATTCTCTCAAAAATTGCCCAAGCTTGTCTGCTTTTCCACTCACCTCCTTGAACTTCGCTTTGAGTTCAGAGTTACACTGCAGGTCAATGAGCTCCATTTGAAGCACAGGAGGGGCATCTTGCACATCAAAGGAGAAGGGGTCCAGAAAAATGTGAAATGTGGCTCCATGCGTCCAGAAGGGGGCCCCTCTCCCTGCCTGGCAGTCTTCTCATTCAGGGGTTTGGCGCTACCAGGGCTTCTGTTTTTAGGTGTCTCCCCCCCCCGCATCATCATGGGTCACCTGGCGAGGTTGCTGCTGCTGTCACCTCGTCCTCTCTGCGCTTCTCCTTCCCTCTGCCTGGCGTTCCTCCACTCCCTGTGCATGCACACACCCCTAGCAGCTGCATGCACCCCTTCTGCAAGGCTGGCCCCATCAGCAGAGTAATCTCTCCCCACTACCCAAGGGCTAATGGGGCTTCCTGAGGCTTCTTGACTCCCATTCTGGCAAGATGCCATGGTCTTGCCCAGTGTGGCTCAGGGAGACGGGGGGAGGGGAGTGCGCACGAGAAGGCTGTTCTCTCAGCAGCACTGGCTCCTGTGGCACAGCTCGGCAGGTAGTGGAGGAGCGCCAGGCAGGGGCAAGGAGAAGCGCAGAGAGGATGAGGCGACAGCACCAGCAGCCTTGCCAGGTGACCCTCGAAGAGCGGGGGGGGGGAGACCTAAAAGCAGAAGCCCGGTGGCGCCAAACCCCTGAGGGAGAAGACTGCCGGGCAGGGAGAGGGCTCCCCTTCTGGAGGTGTGGGTGCTTCAGGAAGGCAGGCGGGACCCAGCCCCTACAAGGCGGGGAGGAAGCCCCACACTCACCAAGTAGGTGCCGCCGCCGCTGCTCCCACTCCTTAAACTTTCATATTAAGGCTTGGACCAGAAACCATCATCCCGCGGGCCGCAATTGGCCCCCGGGCTACATGTTTGAGGCCCCTGTACTAAAGTAATATTCCATCCACGTGCCCATCTTAATCTGCATTGTCAAAACTAGAGTTATGATCACAGTCCCTCCAGGAAATATTAAAAATACCATCCTCTCACAAATGTATCTGTTAACATTCTTGCTTCTTCTCTAATTTTGGTTGTTATTAGACGTTAATTACAGTGCAAGAATTGAGAAAGAAAACAAGCATTTCTGCCATCACCCTTCTTTAGCATCCCTTGTTTGCATTATAGGACTGAGAAGATTCTCCCCCTTCTGGATGACCTGGGGTTAATTGCCTAAACTCTCTCACAGATTTGTTGAGAGGATAAAAATAGGAAGACTTGATATGCACATCACCCTGAACTTCTTGGTAGTAGAGTGAGAAATAAATGGGAGGAAATCTTACCTGAATGTACATGTTCTTCTTACCTATATACTTATTGCTTTGCACCCAGTCACCAGTGGAACACAAATTGTTTGTTAAGGTAGTCAGGAACAATTCTCTTGCTATAAAATAAATTCAGGTTGGTTTCTGCTACAGTAAATACGCTATGGATTGCAAACCTTGAATTCTTTTGAAGGTCTGAAGGATTCTGTATTTGATGTTGATTTTGCTGACTTTTATGTTATTTTATATAACTTTTGGGTGTTCAAGAATTGTCAGCTAATTATGTGAGTCATTTTACAATAATCCTGTAAAATGATCCAGTGTCATTATCCTAATGTTTCAGAAAGAAGAATCTGAAGGAAAATAACTAGCGGAAGGTCTTGTAGTAGGTCCTTGTTCATGTGGTAGGTGAACTGGGGATTTCCCTGCTCTCATTGCCACACTAAGTCAGCTATTTGTTGGTGGACAAGACTGTTTCAAGTGAAAAGTATCTACAACCACCTTGTATTAAATCCATTTCCCTGCCATCTTGGTCTCCAACATATTTCCCTAGTCAGGCCTCACCCAATTTCTGAAAAGCTGCCTATTTTGTTAGAGAGTCTGATATCAGAGTGACAGGCAACATGTATATTTGCAACACCCCCCATGTAAAAATAAATAGGAAAAATAATTTTTTTGGACGGAGGAGAAAGGACCATGGGTGTTCCAGGAGTATAGATGACCCCCCCACCAAGATCCATGGATGGACATGTGCAGCCCCAAAGCCTTTGAGTTTGCCCATTTTTGGAGTAAAGGCTGAACATATTTTTGTAGCTGGCAATGTTAAATATGTTTTAACTTTTAATAGCAGCAGCCTGCTGTTTCTCAAGAACACAATTTGAAAAAGAAATTTATAACCAGCTCTATCAAAACCGTCCAAAGAAGGATGTCTTAAAAATTGTCTAAAGAAATGTTGGTTGAGCAAAATAAGTTCCAAAGGTAACTTTTGTGGCACCTGGATTCCCAACTTACTTCCTATCCCCCCCAAAAAAAAACCCCAGCAAAATAATCATTTTATGCTCCTAGAAGCCTGGAGTACTGGTGGTTCTGCAATAAAATGTGGTGCAGATTGCCAAGCACCACTGCTGATATTTTCAAGCTCTTGAAAACGAGCCCAGAAGTAGATTCCTAAAAACATTGAGATTTGCATTTCTTTTCTTTCTTTTCCCAAACATTCTCATTTGGGCCCCAATGGGGCTGGTGAGTAGGGGAAAGTTAGCTGCCAGTTTCCACCCCTGGTGTAATGGCTATAAATATCAAATGCTACACATCATGGATTAAGGTAAACAGAAGTAAAGTCAGTTGTTTTCCAGATCATACAATATCAAAGTTTTTCTGTCACTAGGTATGTCTTGGCAATCGTTAAGGACAAACATGCTCTGTTTCACAATTACTGTTCGCTTTACAAACAGCATTAGTTTGTGCACTTCAAAAAAGACATTTTTGCTCAAATCTGTGCTGTGCAATTTGTCTAGTCCCAGCCCTGACAACTGAAGTTCTGATACATGATTTTCCTATGAAAACTGGGTTTTGGGTGGTTGCGTTGTGTTTGGGATTTCTGCTGAGATTGCTACTTTCTTAGTCATCCTATGAGCCCATATTATATTCTTTGTAAATAGTTTGAATGTTGTTTCATTCTGTGTAGTTTGTGTACTGTAACTAAAAACATTGAATGAGCTCAG